CATGATAGCAGTGTTCCAATATCTCAGGGGCTGCCACAAAGAAGAGGGAGTCAAGCTATTCTCCAAGGCGCCTGAAGGCAGGACGAGAAGCAATGGGTGGAAACTGATCAAGGAGAGAAGCAACCTAGAACTAAGGAGAAACTTCCTGACAGTTAGAACAATTAACCAATGGAACAACCTGCCTCCAGAAGTGGTGAATTCTCCAACACTGGAAGTTTTTAAGAAGAGACTGGACAGCCGTTTGTTTGAAATGGTGTAGGGTTCCTGCCTGGGCAGGGGGTTGGACTCGATGACCTCCAAGGTCCCTTCCAACTTTATTATTATTATTATTATTATTATTATTATTATTATTATTATTATTATTATTATTATTATTATTATTATTATTATTATTATTATTATTATTATCCTGGGACAACCATCATCAATACAAGCCAATTGCCAAGCATCCACATTTTGATTTGGTAACCCATGGGGGTGCTGAAATGGTTGTAAGGGTGAAAAATGGTCATAAGTCACTTTTTCAGTGTGGCTACCTACAACTTCAAATGATCACTAAATGAATGGTTATAAGACAAGGACTACCTGTATCTGGGACTGGGGTCTTTTGTTCTGTTGCATACAGATTCCAGGAGAAGTGAGTTACCTACCCATTCTGAAACAGGAGCTGGCAGTATAATTACCAGCCCAAGTAGAACTCTTTCATCTGTGCCTATAGCCTCATCCAGACACCCTGGAACTCGTGTTGAGATGAGCAGCAAACAAATCCAATAAACTCAGATAAACGTTCTAAAAAGATAGTGCTCCCCCAAAGCATCTGACAGGCTGATGGTTTATGACAGATATCGGCTTCTTGCAACCATCACCGATTCTTAAAATTGGTCTCACAGAGACTTATTTTGTCATATGTTCTATAGGTTCCAAGAACTTTAGAGAAAAAAAGGAGATTGAGTCAGGAAGGCTCCTTTTGAAGGATCAGCTGGTAGCTCTTGTCCCCCAAATGAATCTCTGCTAATAAAAATGTTTTACCCTTAGGAATTCATGGAACAAATTAAAAAGTTGCTGTGGTAGAATGGATGTATATTTTTGTGTGCTTGTACTTGTGCTGTATTTGAAGGAACCTAAACAACCTTATCCACTGCTAGATTTAATCAGAAATGGTTTTTAAACCAGTCAGACATAAAGATGAATAGCAACACTTGTTATTAACAGTCAGATTAATTTACAGCTCTGATGTTAATTTAATTAATTTAATTTACTGGAACTGTAAAATTGATGTTCAGATTAATTTGCAGCTCTGATGTTTTGCTGCTTCAAGCTATAATTGTTTGTACATCTGTGAAATCTGTGTTTGACTTTTGAGTCGTCCTGGATCTACCAGTTAAAGAACTGGGCAGTGCCTCTTCCTTTTAACTTCAATAATCCTCCACTGTCACAAGTTCTCGGATGATCCATCACGTCTTGAATTCTATTGAGTAAACTTATTTTCTCCACACAGCTGGGCTCCCATCTGAAAAGAGAAATCAGCACACAAGTTCTGCTTTTATGAAAGCGCTTTTTGCTCTTTTTTTTTAATAAAAGCCAGAGTAGGGGTTTCAGATTCTGTAAATTTGTGAAACTGATTTAGGGCATAGCATACAGTTGAGTTCTCCTTTGAATCTTAGTGTATCCTTGCTCCTTCTGAACTTACAACACTTAGGTAACTGTAGCTGAGTTTTAGCCATAAAGCAGATGAGGCGATACAACTGGCTGGTCCTAGATTGTTCTCAGGAACAGCTGTGCAGTGTAGGTTAACCTTGGCAGGGATTCTTTTTTGTCACAAAATTTAATGCAGATGGTGAACAGACTGCCCAATTTACTTATAATTTTTAAAGGGGTTGTATCAGTTGCCCATTCTGAAGTTTGTTCACCATAGGCTCTGTTTGCTTGAACAAATTCTTCAATTCTAGCCAAAAACACAAACCTTGTCACCTTTGACTAATAATTAAGCACTTCATTACATAAGAACAAAATAGCCAGTTTCGAAGTCTGCTGTTAATGAGTTGTTTTCTCCCAAGTGAGGGAACTAAAACGTGGTTCATTAAACTCCAAGGCAAACTCTTTCTTATTGTTTTGTCTTTAAGAATTATTCAAGTGGCAAATAGCTTTCCTCCTCACTCAGAAAAAAAAGTCTCTCTGCAAGTTGTTTCCCCTGTTTTGAGGAAAAAACAATTTAATCTTTTAGAGTTTGTAATTGTCCTGCTTCACAGCCCTGTTTAGGGACCCATTTGTATTCAATGTGTTTGGCAGCCAGATTTTCTTTTGTAAAAATAAATACAAATTTTATTAAAGAAATTCACTGTTGTGCATCATCCAGACACACACTCTTGTGAGATGGTCAGCCATATAAATACGATGAATATTTTTAACAAAATAAAATCAATATAAATATAAGAAAAGAAAGAGTGAAAACAAGAATAATGAGTAAGTAGAATAGATTGAAATATAAATAGAAGAGGAAAAAGAAAAAAAATGTTCAGGTCTTGACAGATTATAATATTTGTCAGCTATAAGTGCTGAGGAAAATAACGAACACAAGAAGAGGTGACCAACTGCACACAGTAAGAACTTCCACATTAGCCTATGTTACTCTGCGGGAGAATATGCTAGCTCTGTTTGATATAGATCAGGGGTAGGCAACCTTGGCTCTTTTATGACTCATGGACTTCAACTCCCAGAATTCCTGAGCCAGCATGGCTCAGCTTGGAAACTCTCCCTTTCCCCTCAGCATGGCTGGCTCAGGAATTCTGGGAGTTGAAGTCCACGAGTCATAAAAGAGCCAAGGTTGCCTACCCCTGATATAGATCAAAACATGCAAAACAGGTAAAGATGGGAAATGAGTTGAACTAGTCGTCAGGTGAAAAAAGCCCATAGTTGCCAGGGAGGCTGTGAACTCTTGAGTCATTCCAGAACCTACCCCAGTTTAGGACTTGAAGATTGTATTCTCTCAGCCTCAATAGTCCCTTGTAAAGCATCCTTATATGTTAAAATTTCAAGTAGGATAGAGGAAGCCTTTGTTATTTATTTTTCCTCCAGCCAATAGATTTGTTTGGCCAACTTGATCTTATCATCAAATTTTGCACAATCACATGCTTGTTTGTCACTGTCTGTTCAAGGAAAGCTACCCGTGTTGTTTCTGCAGTCTGAAACTTTTATTTTAGAATTATACCTATGATGATACTTTTTATTTTGGTGGGTCAGGGATTGTAACAATAAAGTGACTTATTTCCTTTTCTTTCTCTGAAGATATTTTAGAGAATTTACTAAACTCCTGCATTAAGGAACAGGTGAATCTCTCCAGGGGTGGAATTCTGCGGTCTTTTAATATCCTTTATAATCTTGTACCTTCCTTTCCAGCTTCATATAATCCATTTGATAGTAAAAGAAGAAGAAGCTTGATAAAGCTTGGTAAACCATGTGTAATTGTTATTTTTTTAAAAATATTCAGTTGAAAGAAACGGGAATTACACTCTTTGGCCCTTCAACTGTAACCTTGCTGTGACTGCTGCCATTGTTTCCAATGAAAGACACCTCCCTGTTCTGTTTATCAACAGGGTCTCTTCTTATCTTTCTAGGAGACAATGGTCCTTGGTCTGAAAAATGTGACTATGCAGGAAGTGTTGGTCCATATACAGGGATGTGGCAAAGAACAAAAGGTAACAGCACTTTTTGAAAGTTCTTGTCAGCTTTTCTGAATAAATAATTTGGGCTGCATTTTCTTTTTTTACTACTTTTTTTCCCCAATCTGGTAGCTCCTCTTTCTTCTTTTGAAACATGCTTCGCTGGGCACATGGCTGCATGAAGTTAGAGGGCTATCCTATAGTCAGTTTTGCCTCCAGCAGTCATTTATGAAATGCAGTCAGCGTGGGAAAGTTGTCTGTGTGATGTTCACTCTTTCAAACATGATAAAAGAAATATTAGTTACATGTTATGTAACATCAAAAACAAACTCCTTTATGGCTCGCAGCCATTTTTATTTATTCACACTATTGTGATTGTACTTAACCCTTAGATAGTTTTGTCAGAGGCACCAAGTTTGAAAAGAAGATCGCTTTTATTTTTCATGGTTTCTCGCACACTTATTTGTCATGGTTTAGAAAGACTGTCACAATGGAACTTTGCACACTCCTATCAGAACAGGGGGTAACATTCTCTCAGCTCAGATGGCAAAGGAAGAGGGACAGTTTATTTCTGCTTATGCAGACAGGAAGGTGCAGTGTAAATGCAGATCTTTCCTGGTTTTGTATGTGATACCCTTGGCGTGTATGTCTGTGAGTGAGTAGGCATGAACCGATGCTCTTAAGGTCATATTTCCCCAGTTACTCTTTGGGAATAGCAGCAGCTGGCTTTTCCTCATCTGTTTCCTGTCCATTTTCCAAATATAGAAGGGGAAAAAAAAGACTGTGGCAGAAGTCCCCCAGAGGAAGTCCCAGGGGTTTCTTTTCTTTGTTTAAACACTGTTCTGTAGTTTTAAAAGTTCATATCTGCACGCATGATATCGTTTCGTTCACGCAAATGAATGTCTCAGATTGGCAGCCCTTGCTTTTCCAAAATAAAATCTATGTCATAAAAACAATTAATTTTTATATTAATAAAAATAATTAATAATACATCACTTTAATTTTAATCTTTAAAAATAGATTGGGGAACTTCATAGAGAAATTCCCACAGCATCAAGGTAGTGCCTTGCTGTGGGTTTATTATGATTATGATTATTAATGTTTGTAACAGATCGGTGTGCGAAAGGACGATAAATGCCAACAGTGAATAAAGTTGAAATAGTGGTCGGCAATTTGCTAGCCTTTTTTATTTGAATATCAGTAGCTCTCTGGAGTCTTAGATGCCTTTTCATAAGCGCTTTGATTTGAAGCAATTTTTAAAAATTAATTATTAAACCCCAAATCAAATTTACAATAGATTGGAATGTTGAACAAAATGAAATATGCAAAATGTAGTATATATAATACAACATCAAAGGGAGGAGGAGGAGGAGGAGGAGAAAAAGAAGAAGAAGAAGAAGAAGAAGAAGAAGAAGAAGAAGAAGAAGAAGAAGAAGAAGAAGAAGAAGAAGAAGAAGAAGAAGAAGAAGAAGAAGAAGAAGAAATGAGATAAAGTTCCAACATTCTGTCTTATATAGCTGTATAATTCATTTTGCATTGTAAAGTAATATTTTCCATCTATTTCTGTTCTTAAACTGTTACCTTATCCGAAGATGTTAGCTACTTTCCTGCTTTTTTTTGTACACAAGGATCTAGAAAAAAGTGAATCAATTCATAGGGAGACTTTCATTAAGAAGTACTAAAAATATTTCCTTGAGAGAAAAAAAATCATCATCTATGTCTTGTTAGGATAGAATGTCTTACATATGTATGAGATAATTCTCTGTAGCTTCTCAGAAAATCTTGAGAAGTGTTTGGAAAAGAGTGACATCTGAAATTGGTCCAGGAACATCTCCTTTGCTGCTGATTTTTCATTTTTGTTTTTTTTAGTTTCTCTCCTGTTTCTTTCAAGGGAACATTTTGTTTCTGTCATCTCTCAGATTTTTCCTGGAATTTTTTGTAATTTGATGCAGTAGAGAACTTGAATAGCCTCTGATGAAATAAAAGCCAGAATATGAATTTGGTTGGAGATGTGTGCTTCCATAAAGACGTGATCCAGAAAATGTCTCTATTCAAACTGATATATATTTGATATTCTTTGTGCTTCAGGACAGTGAATGAAGGAAAGATAGGTCAATTTGTCAACTGGCCACCATTTATTTGAACTAAAAGCATTGGTGGGGGGATCCAAATTGAGTTTGTTTCCTTTAGTCCACTTTTCAGTGGAGAACCTTTAGATTTAACAAGCAAAACTAGAGATTTGTCACAAGTGCATCTGTTGTTATACTGAGTTAGTGCTTCCGGTTATGAGCCCCATTAAACCTGGCTTTCTTAAGAGAGAAATCAAACAGTTTCATGATGGGCATCTGTTAGAAATCAGGTTAGATGAGCTAAATCTTTTTACTCTAGGGAAAATAACATTTCTAATGAAGGGATATTCCATGGAGACTCAAACATTTGAAATTACACAGAGCCACAAGGGAACAATTTTCCGTGTATACTAAGGGCACAACAAGTAATCATTTTATAATAAAGTTTCTTTCATGTTGACCTCAGTTACTGGCACAGTTTTGGATATTTTCATGTATGTACAATATCTTAGCAACACAGAACAATGCTTTTTTTTTTTTTTTTGCTGTCCCCTGCCTGGGATATCTTGGTGGTTTACAGGATAAACTTACCCATCTTAACTTCTGATGCTGCAATGATTCACTTAACAACTATGGCAATAAAGGTTGTAAAATGGAGCAAAACTCGCTTAACAACTGTCTCAGCAACAGAGATTTTAGGCTCAATTGTGGTCGTAAGTGGAAGACTGCCTATACTGTACAAATTGAATTAGCCTAGCAGCAAAGACACATTTTATGGTTTTGTGCTAGGAATAACCCATGATATGATGACGATGATGATGAAGAAAAAGATGATGATAGACATTGCTGTCGTTGAAAAGAACCATTTTTCATTTATTGATATAGCCACTCCAAGAGACAGCAATATTAAAGACACAGAATTGGAAAAGATGACAAAATAACAAGATTTGGAAAAAGTGGTATTGGGGCAGTTGGTGCAATACTTCAGTTTTACACTTAGGCAGGAAAAACCAAAGGTACAAGTACAGATTAGGCGAAACCTGGTTCAAAAACATTAACCGTAAGGGGGCCGTGGAGTCCTAGTGGATGATCCCTTAAATACGAGCCACCAGAATGCAGCAGCAGCCAAAAACACTAATACAATGCTTGATTGTATAAACAGAGAAATAGAATAAAAATCACGTGAAGTATTAGTACTGCTTTATAAAGCCTTAGTAAGGCCATACCTGGAATACTGCATCCAGTTTTAGTCACCACATTACAAAGAAGATCTTGAGACTCTAGAACAGGGGTAGTCAACCTTGGCTCTTTTATGACTCGTGGACTTCAACTCCCAGAATTCCTGAGCCAGTCATGCTGGCTCAGGAATTCTGTGAGTTGAAGTCCACGAGTCATAAAAGAGCAAGGTTGACTACCTCTAGAAAGAGTGCAGAGAAGAGCAACAAAGATTTATCAGGGGCCTGGAAGCTAAAATATATGTAGAATGGTTGCAGGATTTGGGTTTGGCTTGTCTAGAGAAAAGGACTAGGGGGCGGACATTCATACTCCCGCACCATCCTTCCATTTCCCACCATCCGGTCACAGCTGAAGAAGCTTCTTGGATGAGAAGCAAAACGTCTTCAAAGAAAAACAAGGAAGTCCAGTTGACTCCTGAAAAGGCACCTTTGGGACAACCATGACCTGAGTGAGAATCTCCATAGACATTTAGTTATGCACTTTGGGATGGGCACTCTTCGAATGGTGCAGGAGTATGAATGGAGTTCCAGAAAACCTTGCAGAATACAGGAACGCGGCAGAAAACATCCTGCAGCCAGAAGGCTCCATACACATTTGCACTACTCAGGTGACCCAAAAGACACAGAAAACCTCCAAATGGTGTCAAATTGCCGGCCCATGGGCCGGTTGCATCATGCGGAGGCTGCGCCCACCCCAGCTCCCGCAATGAAAAAAAAAAGTTGCAATACGTTGTGACATGTCACGTGATGCGGCGAGTTTGACACCCCTGCTCTCAAAGAATACAAATGACCAGTTGTCTGCAAGGAATATAAATCCGAATATAAATCCTTCCATTCCCCACCATCCGGTCAGAACTAAAGAAGCTTCTTGGATGAGAAGCGAAACGTCTTCAAAGAAAAACAAAGTCCAGTTGCCTCCTGAAAAAGTACCTTTGGGACAAGAGACTGAACGGACACGTGTCTGAAATGGTATAGGGTCTCCTGCTTGAGCAAGGGGTTGGACTAGAACAAGGCTTTTCAACCAGTGGTACGGGTACCACCTGTGGTACATTGGCACCTGGCCGGTGGTACGCAACCATCCTAGAAAAGTAGCGGGGGAGGGGAATAAGCTGAACCGGTGGCAGCACCGCACAAGTCTGAGCGAGAGATGGCTGGTGCTGCCGGGCTGTCAGGGCTCAGCAGAAGCGCCAGGATCAGCGCCAGGATCCAGCTGGAGCTCGGTGCTGAGCCCTGAAGAAGCACCAATCAGCTGGAAAGCAACACTGATCCTGGCGCTTCTGCTGAGCCCAGAAGAAGCGCCGATCAGCTGGAATGTTGCAGCATCTCCAGGGTCTTGTGATTTACATTCAGATGCTTGGCAACTGATTCATATTTATGACGGTCACAGTGTCTCAGGGTCATGTGAAGTGACCGAAACCTGCTGCAACCACCCAGCAGACGGGGGGAATAAAAACCAAACACCCCCCACCCCACCCCCACTGCCAATCCTCAAGAGAAATTCTCACAACAATGAAAACCTCAGACAGGAGGAAGAGCGCAGCCAGGCGGGCAGGCAGGTGTCTTGCTCGGCTGTGGCTTGGGAGGCACTTTTTTCAGTGCCATTGTAACTTCAAACAGTCACTAAGCGAACTGTTGTAAGTCGAGGACTACCTGTACTTTTTTTTTTTTTTTGGTCATCAAGTTTTTGACACCTTGCTAGGCAATATTGCCATATCCTAAAAGTAGTACAATGGGTGAAAAGGTTGAAAAGCCCTGGACTACTAGAAGACTTCCAAGGTCCTTTCCAGCTCTACTCTGATTGATTGATAACCTCCCAAATACTAAAAGAAGGATCTGACTTAAGTTGTTTGTCATTTATCTGAACGCCAGAAGTAAGATTGTGGTTGCCAAATTTTCAATTGTCTGCTAGGGCTAGACTTTCAATTCATGCTGTGAAAAGCTATTAAAAAAATTTTGTATAGCAGGATGCTTTGGAAGATGTAAGTCCTGGCTAAATTGTTTTCTGCTCTGTTGGACAACCATAGATGAAGTGAAGTGATTGCTTTGGGGGAAATGAAGTTTGCCAGTTTAGGAGGTGAGCCAAAGACCCCTCAGAGAAAAGTGGGATTAGTCTGATCTGCTTCCTATGTTTCTGTGTGAAGAGGCAAAGGGGAAATTGCCTACAGGGCCTGCAGGAGGGATAATTTTTTTAAACAAAGCAGCTGTGCCAGGTGTATCGTTATATAAATGTTTTTGCAATCTGATGAAACAGTTTGTGCAATGAACATTTCCAAATCTTGTTACATAAATGGAGTATAAAAGCACACCCAGCTTCATCCCCATCTTGACATCTGGACCTGGAAGCAAAGTTGGATTATCTTGAAACTTGTGGGAAGTGTTTATTTTCATTCGTGTAGATTTGCTGACACAGTTCTTCAAATCTTAAACACTGAATATGTCTGTAAGTTTTGATATCCTCTAAAGTTGTTTTTGTTGTTTGGGTGGGAACCCTCAGGGTTTGGCCTTGTTCTTTGAAAAGGGAGCCACCCTTCCTTAGCTTGATCACTGATTTGCCTAATCCTCCCTAATTTGGCAGCATCTTTCATGATATGCATCTACTTCTTTCTCTCAGCTTCAATTCTCGCAGTCTCCACGGTGAATTCCCAGGTCTAACATTATTCTGGAGCTACATAGTTTTATGTAAATGTAAATAAATCCGCTGACTACTAAAACGGCTTTTATGCGTGTCATTCACCAAGTTGTTCTCTGCAGCATCTTGGGTCTACTATGCTTTCTCAAGGGCTCTCAAGAGAAAGTAATTTAAAAGGGGCAGAAGTGTAAAACTTACTCCCAAAGGCAGCTTGATACATACTATGTCATGCTGTCTCTTTGAAACTACTTCTAGTCTTTAGAAGCTGCCATATATCAATAGCCCTTAGACTTATATACTGCTTCCTAGTACCGCTTCCTAGTGCTTTACAGCAGGGCTTTTCACCCATTGTACCACTTTTAGGATATGGCAACATCCGAGTACCACCAGTCGCCTAGCAAGGTGTCAAAAACTTTATGACCAAAACAAAGGAAAAAAGTGCTAAAGTACAGGTAGTTCTCGACTTACAACAGTTCGCTTAGTGACTGTTCGAAGTTACAATGGCTCTGAAAAAAGTGCCCCCCAAGCCACAGCTGAGCAAGACACCTGCCTGCCCGGCCGGCCGTGCTCTTCCTCCTGTTCGAGGTTTTCATTGTTGTGAGCATTTCTGTTGAGGATTGGCAGCGGAGGGTGGGGTGGGGGGTGTTTGGTTTTTATTCCCCCCGTCTGCTTGGTGGTTGCAGCAGGTTTTGGTCACTTCACATGACCCTGGAACACTGTGACAGTCATAAATATGAATCAGTTGCCAAGCATCTGAATGTAAATCACAAGACCCTGGAGATGCTGCAACATTCCAGCTGATCGGCGCTTCTTCTGGGCTCAGCAGAAGTGCCAGGATCAGTGCTGCTTTCCAGCTGATTGGTGCTTCTTCAGGGCTCAGTGGAAGCACCAGGATCAGCACCAAGCCCTGACAGCCCCGAAGAAGTGCCGATCAGCTGGCGCTTCCGCTGAGCCCTGCAGCTCCAGCCATCTCTCGTTCAGGCTTGTGTGGTGCTGCCACCGGTTCAGCTACCACTTTTCTAGGATGGTCACGTACCACCTGCCAGGTGCCAATGTACCACAGGTGGTACCCGTACCACTGGTTGAAAAGCCCTGCTTTACAGAACTCTCTGGGTGGTTTACAGAGTCCGCCTATTGCCCCCAACAATCTGTGTCCTCATTTTACCAACCTCGGAAGGATGGAAGGCTGAGTCAACCTTGAGCTGGCAAGGAAAGCCAAAAATAACTCAGACACTGAGTTGGGGAGTTAGGGACTTGGCTCTTCTGAAGAAAATGAGGCAATATTGAGACATTATACTAATATTTATTCTATATGTTCAACTGTTTTCCTTTTTTTTTTAGAGTATCATTACATGTCTTAATAGATCCCTTAACTTTTCCTTCCTGATGACATTTTGTCTTCTTGGCTGAAAAGGATTACTTTTTTTATACCCTTACTTCATAATTCTTCTTTTGATTGATTGAATAAAAAAGCATTGGGGCCAATAAGCATCTGAAAATGCTTTCCCCCCCTTTTTAAATTGTACAGGTGGTAGCTCAGCAAAACAGACAACGTGGGAAGGGGGACACCGTGTTCCCACAGTAGCATACTGGCCAGGGAAGATCCCAGCAAATGTGACGAGTCCTTTGATGTTGAGGTAGGAGAGGAGAATGCTTTCTGTTATTGATTGTTCATGTAAGATTATTTTATGGTCCATCTAGAATAGTGTGTAGATGACTATCTTCCAAACCATAGCAAGTTGAGCTTCTAGAACAGCTGAGAAGATACATTCCTGAAGATGGAAGAATTTGTCATCTCTGACATGATAAACAGTCAGAAATAAAATGTACTAACCAATAATGACCTCTGTAAAGTTCCACAGCGTTTTGCAATCTATTGCTTTCCTTAACTCTTCCTTCAGGCCTGTGGAGAGCAATTGTAAATAAGGCTCTAGAATAAAGGTTTTGAACAGTCAAACAGGCCAATTGCTGATCCTTCATTGTTTGTCAAAGATCAATGTTTTCCTAAATAGATCTGAATTTGAAAGGGATCAAAAGTTTACTTTTGAGATATTTGCTTAGAAACACTTTTCAAAATATTTTTCTTCTTAGGATTATAGTAAACATCTGTTATGTTTCTGGAAATGCTTTGGCATTGTTGGTCTGGAATAACTAGTTTTCTTGAAGGACTCCCTCAAAAGGAGTCCAGGGTATTGCTACTGTATTTTATAATTCCCAAATTATATTTCTGTAAATTAATCTTCATGTTGTCTTGGTCAGGAGTGTTAACTACATAAGAGATGAAAGTTGCCCTTTCAAATATACCTGCCATTAACTTACCAGTGTGAAAACTGCACACTTCCTAATGAGCAAGATATAAATATTAATTTGGGTCCATCTTGATGTTATGATTGCAAAGACCTTTAGCAACATTCAGACATCACTTTATAAACTATACCTGAGTGAGGTGGAATATGCCTGGTCTCATTTGGCTTGGTTACTTTCATTTTTTCTCCCACATGACAGGAAATGAGCTTGGAAGCTTCTGCATTTAATTAAACAATATTTGTTGTAGTTTATGTTATTGATTTCAACAACATAAAGAATTAAGCCAGATTTGGAGACCATATCTTAAAGTTGGTAGTAAGCCTTCCAAGGTGAGTAAAGCAGTGCAATACAATGACTAAGTGCATGAAGGAAAATTAGACTCTTTACTGAGATTAAGCTATAGTTTAGTTAAATGCAGCTTGTGCACAGAAGACTAGAGACTAAAACTAGAGGAACCCCAATAAAAACCAATGAAACTGAATCCAAGAAAACCACTGAAAATTGAATAAATTTCTATAAAGCAAAGCCATCACACATTCAGTATAAAGACTGGTCACCCAACATTTTAGCAATGCAAGAAATTCAGCATATTATTAATCATTCCACTGAGCCTGCTAGAATATGGGTATACCACAGTTTTTGATCTACAGTATTCTACTTAAAAAGCTAATATTCTTGATTCTAGTCCTGCCCTTGCTATCATATACTATCTGGATATGTCCCTTTGAATGTCCTCAGTGATCTGTTGTAACTTGCTTTAGAAAGAAGGTAAAGGAGGGTCTTGCCTCCTCACTTTTGTTGTCTCGTTGCCCTCTTATTCCTGCTGTGGGCAGGATATTTGCCTTTCACAGCTTTAAATTTGTCCTTAATTAAAATAATTTAAAATGTCAGTAATAATTTGGCTTTATTAGCAACTACAAATGAGTTCCACAGGTGTTACTCCTTTATTACTGGCATTATAAAAGTAATTTTCACCCATGGAAGTTGTCACAGCAGTTCTAATTAATGCTAATAAATGCTACAATATTTTGTGCATTTAGTTATTTATTTAAAGTATTTGTACAGTACTTATAACCTCAACAGCTCATGGCTGTTATATAGACCACTCACAGAAGTTTGTGGTAATATTTCCAGATGCATTTTAAGTACTGTCATCAGATTAGATGCATGAGACCTGGGAACACATCTCCGTGTCACTTCTGTCGGCATGCTTTGGTCCTGCAGTGAATTGTTCTTTATGTTCCATTGTAATATTAGGTTCTTAATTGATCAGTCAGTCAATCAGTTATGCCAAATCAGAACTGCTGCATTATGACCATTTTTATTAAATCCATCAACTCCTATATTTTTGGAATGCTATTTATCTTTTAGATTGATAGTTCTGGGATAACTATTGATAAATTTTGTTGAAAGGCCATCCTATCTAGAGAGTAAAAGATCCTTTCTTCACTTTCCTGGTTCTGGAGCTCTTCCCTTGTCCTTGACTCAACAGAAAACTATTCTTGTGGTAATATTCGTTGTCTCCTTTTCCAATCCATTTCTGCCTCTTTTCCCAATCACTGCCACCTACCTGATTTCCCTCCAACCTAATTAGAAATAAAGCCTAACAGATTTTTATGCACTTTCAGTCTGCGTGTGAACAGTGACGGAATTAGAAAGAAACCAGTGTTTGAACTCCAGGAAAATATTTAAAAATGTATTGTGAGTCAGCCTGTATTTTTATCCTGGAAGAGAGCATTTAAGTTCTAAATTCTCTTTCTCTTAACTGAGAAAATACTGTTATCGTACATTAGGAAAACTGAAGTCCTGACAGTATGCGAGTCCCAAAATGTATCTCAGATCTGTTTGCCTGCTAGTGAAGGCACCTATGCTAAGGAAAGGGGCACAGCATCCTATGATAAACAGATTAAAAAAGGAATAAAAAAGAATCTCTACATAACATTTTACATATAGACAGGTACCCAGCCAGGTTTTATTATTTACATTTTAAAGTTTAAACCCCCTCTCAAAGCATCTTCCAAAGTAAAATAATAAGCTTAACATTTTTAAATAATATTTTTAAAAACTGATAAGTGGAAAACAAAATTTTCAGGTTGGGAAAGGAAGAGACAGCAGCAAGGCAAGGAAATTAACTCAGCTGCATTGAGGAAAAGGCAAGCCCAGGTGTCCTTGCTGGCAGGACTCCAGCATTTTATAGAAAATTTACTAGGGAACTGTTAGAAAAGATGAATTAATTGTGCAAGTTTAACTAAGCTGATTGTTCCTTTGGAATCATTAAGATTTTTAAAAAGTGCTCCATGCATGATAGAAAGAAGAATCAGATTCTTGTAACTCCATATACATTGAAGGAATTCTTGTGACATAACACTCTATACGGTAGTGGCCAAAATTGTGGAAACCTTTTGGGAAAAGTGTATTTTTGAGGTTTGATGGCTAATAACACCACTTTTTTTTGGAGTAGTACCATAAAATTATATATCAATGGAAAGATAATTTAATCAAGAATGTAATGCAACATAGTTTGTTCAATTATCTGTACTGAATTCTATGAAAAGTTATAGCCAAATAACCAGAAAAAGGAAGCACAACTTGCTTAGGTTGATATCAGGTAGCTTTCCTTCATCTGATTTTAGCCAATGAGCATGAGTGTTTAGAGAGCCAATCAGGTGTCATCTTGTTTTGGCAATGAGCCGATCAGATCACAGTAGGATTCAGTTATTGATGTCATGTATTGAAGCTGAGAGGAGGACATTTGTCAGTGTGTTATGTGATCGCTATCAAGTTGGTTAGGTTTTTCTTTGTTCTTTCATTTAGTGAGCTTGTAAAACGTAATAAAATTAAAGTAATGGTGCAAAGAGTTGACTGGTCGCCCAGAAAGCGATGTAAAATAGTATTATTAAGTGAACAAGGCTACAGTTACAGAGAAATTAGAAGAAAAATTGGTGGAAATTTAACCAAATGTGGCATTTCTACTGTACACTTTTCCCAAAAGGTTTCCACAATTTTGGCCACTACTGTATCTAAGCATTTTAATAATTGATTGTGAAACTATAATGGATAGCCATAATATTGACAGTATTATTGACAATGAATTAGTGAACTGTCATTAATCAATACTTGGATGTCAAATGATTTCTCTGCCTAGTTTTAGAGGATTAGGGCTTACTACATAATAAACCACAATAAACCACAGATAATGACTGGCATACATCTTTTATTCTAAAGCTAACTTTCGTTCAGATACAGAGTGTTTTGGAATACATAGGAAGGATAAACTACATCAGTGCTGAAATTGTAAAATTTAGTTTTTTCTCCTTTGGGCCTTTGACCTGTGATTCCCAATAAAATTTCAACCTTTTTGCTGTCCAAATGGTGAACGGTTCAAAACATCTCACCCTTGTATGTCCAATCATCAGAAAACTTAATTGCCTTTCTGATCAAGAGGTTACTAGTCGCCTTCCGTGAGATTAAACATGGGCAACTTCATAAAGGTTCCTAATTTTTATTAGTAGCTATGATTTGCAGAAGTCAGTTAGCAACTCCTATTCATTACTAACTTAACTGTATTTCAGGTTTGTGTTACATGTACTTTTAATTATTTGTATTTTATTAGTCTGGGACCATCAATCAATAAATATGTTTTTTTTAAAGGCATTATGTTATCTGGAAGGCAAAAAGAGAGATTGTACTCACAACACTTTGCATGCAGTTTTTCCTTCTCTTTCATGGAATTGATATTTGTTTACCGGTCCACATTGGCACCCATAAGGAACCAATTATTTCCCTGAATTTTGTGGAGTTAGCACTTCTTTCTTGTTCCCTTGGGAGGAAACTGTATATTCATCTTCCATTTCTCATAGGATAGACATTCCTTTTCCACCATAATCTGCCATGCCTAACCACTTAGTTAATGGCTTTTGACGAATACCATTAGCAGGACCTTGATGATTCCCTGCTTGTTAAAAATAGGCCAATAAAGTAGGTCATCTAATGCAGGGCTTTTCAACCAGTGGTACGGGTACCACTTGTGGTACATTGGCACCTGGCAGGTGGTATGCGACCATCCTAGAAAAGTGGTAGCAGGGGAGGGGAGGCTTCAGCTGGAGCTCGGTGCTGATCCTGGCGCTTCTGCTGAACCCAGAAGAAGCGCCGATCAGCTGGAATGTTGCAGCATCTCCAGGGTCTTGTGATTTACATTCAGATGTTTGGCAACTGATTCATATTTATGACGGTCACAGTGTCCCAGGGTCATGTGAAGTGACCAAAACCTGCTGCAACCACCCAGCAGATGGGGGGAATAAAAACCAAACACCCCCCCACCTCACCCCTG